AGCCGGGGCTCAAACCGGCAACCTTCCGATTACAAGGCGAACTCCCAACTCTTGAGCCACGATCGCCAAAATCGATAGGTCGGTGCTGATTTATGAGTGATCATTCCAGGTTAGGTTGGGGCCTCATCATGGAGAGACTCCACCTGTCAGTTAGCTTGGAAACAACTTAATGTGTCTCTGGAAGAGCTGAAGGAAGTGGCTGAAAGTTCTAGGTGACTCTGTTTAGGCTACTGCTCTCACAGTCTGGACCCAAATAAGCAACAGAAATGGATGGATGGATGGATGGATGGATGGATGGATGGATGGATGGATGGATGGATGGATGGATGGATGGATGGGGACACAAACCCTTTTAAATAAAAGTCCTTTTTTTGACCCGTGCATCCACAGCAACCTCAGCCTCATAACTGGTACGGTCATCTGACATTTCTGAGTATTTCTCCTAGAAATGTTTTCCGGCAGAAAATGTTGAAGTAATGTTTTGCGCTACTTGCTGTTGTTCAGTGCTTTATAAATTTTGAAGTTGCTGTGGAAAATAAGCAGAAACATTTTTAGTCTACTGCAACATTGCTCATCACTTTTTTTTGTCTCCACATTTACATTTACAGCACATTTGTGTAACCGATTAAGTTGCACTTGGAGTATGTTTTGTCTGTTTTAAGTGTTAAGCTTATAAAGTATTAAAACTTATGTATAAGGCTAACACTTAAAAACAACAACAACTGTGTGTTAATCCACTTCAGGGACAGGAGTTTGTACTTTTGTGCATTCTGCATAAAAAACTTTTAGAAATTTCCATTTCTTAAATTTATTTTGATGTACTTTGATTCTGGTGGTGTTATGCTTTTAGCGCTGCAACCCTAAAAGATTTGCAGGACACAGTTTCTTGCAGCTCTCACAGGAAACACCCGCAGAGAGAGCCCATCATGAGGCCATTTTGGCATCCATAAGTATGATTGATGACATAGGGATGCAGACAGCGAGAATTCCCCTCTGCCATGAGAAAAATGATGATTGTTTGGATTTTTTTATTTTTTTATTTCCCTGTTAGTGCCCCCCTCTGCTTCTCAGTGGGACACATTTACATTACGTTAGCAACATATACACTCAAAGCCTGGGGCTACCAAATACAAACAAAACAACTCCCGTGGATCTCAAAAGTCCATTTATCCACAATTTTTATCACAAATACTTCGATGTTTGTAGAGTAAAATGTAAAAAAGGTAAAACATGCCATCGGAAGCCATTATCCCTTTCAGGACCTCACCCCCAAATCTATTTCAACATGTGTGACTGGCAGGAAGGTCGCAATAATTTCACAATACATCACAGCAACAGTGGAGTGTGCTGCAGGGGCTAACAAAGTCACCTGGCCATTCCCTTTGCAGGCACTGCCATTTAGCCCTTTTTAATCCCCTCCATCCCATTACATGACAGTAGAAGACCTGTGCACATTACATGCTTCAGTAGAGATCATTTGCCTCGCGCAGGCAGCCAAAGATCACATAAAATATTACCACCCGTTATTTCTGTCCCACCTCCATCTCCTGACTGGCAGTAAACAGAGCTGGACGTCAAATGATAGCATAGTATATGACATCCTAAGAAGTTCCATTGAATCCCGCAGTCTGCCATATGACTCACTCTCCACGTCTCAGACATCGGGTAATCGACTGAGTGGAAACGGAGACAGCAGATAAGACTGAGTGCAGGTCTTAACTTTAACAAGCAATAAAAAAGTGGATTTTAGAGGCAAAATATAATTAATTTTCTTACAATTAAATTAAACAGATATAATTAAAGTCTTCTGAGAGGGTGATTCATATTTTAAGATGTGCAAACACTCCAAAGACTTTGCAATTCATAAGTTCATTCCTATTTTAAATATCTTCACAGTATACGAGCTTCCAGCCCGGTCTGGTCAGCAGAAAGAATCATCAGTTAAGTCTTGTGGAATTACTGTACTCGCTGAGCCTTCAGGCTTTGGATCATAACAACATTTTTGTCAATAACACCATCTCCAGTGCTGTCATTCCCCCTGACCTGGTTCCTCTATTGAGCCCAAACACAAACACACACATACGAAAACACACACACAGAAAATCTGGGGTACTAAGCTTTTCATTTCAACTCCAGGAGAAGACGTGGTAGTTATTTCAACATTTTAAGTAGTGCAGAAATACTCTCACAATAGCACCCTGATGTTTCACGGTTATTATTTTCACTCTATTAAAATTGCAGTGGTTGCAGTGAATTACTCATATTGGCCAATCTTATAGAAAAAGTTTGGGTAATATAAAAAAGTAATAGATATATATTTCAATAGTATTCTAATTTGATTCATTTAAATATAAGTACAATCTAATTTAATAAAAACACAACTTTACAAATACAGAGTTTCCCAAATATGTTTTCCAGTCTCTAACGGCATCACATCAAAAGCAGCAAAACCACACACACATCCATCTGTCACAGACTTCAAGAAATCAAACCGCCAAGTGAGACCATTCAACAAAAAATGCACAGCATGCAGCAGCAGTGAAAGCACCATTTGTGGAGGTGGACCAGTAATAAGTTTGAGATTTCCCCTAAATCGTCAGTGATTTTAATAGAGTGTGATGGCAGTTGTGAGACTGGCACAAACAGCAAAACAGGAAGCTTTTGAAGCTCTAAAGTAACTTAAAATTTTTTGTAACTTTAATGATCAAGTCGTCCGTCCTAAACAGCTCTTCAAGTCATCACGAACTGCACAAAAACAGTATTTAAGTTCGCATTAATCTGTGAATTGGTGTTAATGTCATTTGCAATCTGTCTGTAAACACCACAAATCATAAAATGTGAACAGTAACGTGCCCTTGGCACACTCATTGACTACACCACTACCTCTACATCATGTGTGTAATATAAATGAATGACATTTCAGTGAAAAAACTAAATAACTAAAAAGGGGCCGAAGCTAAAAGCAGATAATGCTGCATTATTAACAACATCTGCCAAGTGAATTTCATAAAAATATATCCATCCATCCATTTTCTTAACCCCAGGGAAGCTGGGATCTATCCCAGCTGTCATTAGAGCTAAAGGAAGGGTACACCCTGGACAGATCGGTAGTCTGTCGTGAGGCTGACACGCAGGGAGACAGAAAACCATTAACGCTCATATTCATGGAGTGCGAGAGGAAGCCGGAGTTCCCGGAGACAGCCCATACATAGGCAGGGAGAACGTGCAACCTTCCCAAAGTAGCTTAGTAAAGTAAAGTAAAGCTTGTGGATTCAAACACAGTACACCCTAGATGTGAGGCAACAGTGCACAGCCCCACCACTGTCTATAATGTTAAAAAAAATACACATATTTTAATAAGCTATATTACTCAATTATAGTCCAAATGATGTCATTTATCCCCAAATCAGCTATTAAACCAAAGGCTCTATTTTCAGGAGATTAAGTAAAATAGTGCAAACAAGTCGTGTGCCAGCCACGAGATTAAATTTTAAATCAGTTCAGACTAATATAAACTTACATAGCGAAAAAGAAAGCTCTCTGAATTTACTACATTTCTGCTAAGAAGCAACTTGAATGTTTTTTCATTTATTTATTTATTGATAGGACAATGTTACGATTTTAATCAACTTTTAATCAAAAGGAATTTGCAAATTTATTTTAGGCAAGATCTGGCTTGGCTTGAAAGTTGTTTGCATGAGTAAGAGGCAATGAGCTTTGAGCCCAGAGGACATGTCTATCACTGTGCGAATTTGCTGAGTTGTTGATAAAGCGTTTCTCCCGAAGACATGTAAGGTTGTGACTCATTCAAAGAGAAGATCAAAAGACTTTTATTCAGGGTGACATAATTCAGGAAAGAGACAGATTGGATTTTTTCCACTCATTCCAGAGATTAGTTGTGATGTCAGAGACACAGATCCAACGGATTTAATCAGTTAGTTATTCAACCCGTCTCTGAACAGGTGTGCCTGTTATCAAATATGCAGCCTTTTACTTGTGCCAGATTCCCTGATTTATAGAAAGAATAATTGATTGGCCTTGAAGCATAACAATGACGACCTGGAGAGACAATTCAATGAAAGAGGCGGAAAGGGGAGACTGCCTCTCATCCATACTCCTGTTCTGATGACATAATGATATTTATATCCAAACTATGCCTGAAAAACAGACCGATTTAATTTAAGTATCGCTGTGGTGAAACACTGACGCTGTAACCTTAAGTCATTTTTCAAATCATGTGTGTAATCAAGGCCAGAGAACGCCAAGAAAGATTTCAACAAAACATCATAAAATCTGGTTTTACATGCCAGTAGGGATGCATCGGGCCTGCCTTATTTCACACAAGGTATATTTAAGATAATTACTTATTAGGCTTGTGGCAGAAACCATGCAATGCCAAATGAAGTGAGCAACGGTTGTGGTCTACTGCTTGAGCATTGCATGAGCTTCATTTTATCTAATCACCCAATTTTCACAGGACAGGAGTTAATCTGTACAGCTGTCCACTCACTGGGCTCCCTTACTTGGTTTTCACCGTCAGAAACCTCTACTGAAGACATGCAGACACATTTCACACTCGGCATTGATAGGGCAGGATAGCCGGTATGATATATATATA